GAAGAGGGGAGTGGAGAGATAGAGGAGTAAAGGGGGAAACAAACGAGTGTGCCAACAAATAGAGAGAGAGGCCTATACTGAAACAGATAAAAACAATAGACCACAGCTACAGTCGAACCAACTCTCATACATTCAAAAATAAAACATATAGTGATGCTAACATACCAGCTATCCAACCACCTTATTAGTGTGCTGTTCCTCTATACAAAGACATGGTTTACAGACAGAATAAAAGAGAAGAAAAGGAAAAGGAAAAGAGAAAAAAGGGAACAATAGAGTAGGAATAGAATTAAGTCATTAAACTAATAGAATCAATGAAGCACACTCTGTGACATTTCGTTTAGGTCCAATGTCCTTTCAGGTCTGATTTCTAGTTATCTTTTCAAGCTGGTAAATTAGTTTGCAGTTAGGGTCCATTCCCCTGATCTGCTGTGAAGGACAGTTCAGAATAACCTCGGTTCAGAAGTTTGGTCTATGTCTTTATCAAGCGTGTTTCTCCCGTTTCGGTGTTGTTACCTTGAATCGCCAGCAGGTGGTGCTATCTCATCTGCTCGCCCCAGAGGGGGTGCGGCCGGACAGGAACAAAATGGCTGCCTGCCTCCGAGCAGGCAACAGGATCCCCACGCCAGGCGGACAGGACAGTCTCGGATGTAGGAGCGGTGGCAGCGATCCCAGCAGATCTTCCCTGAAGCGGTTTGGTGTGGATCTCCTCCCGGCCGGGTTGTGATGAGCTACCCGTGCCAGAGGCCGCGGCGGCGGCGGCGGCGGCGGCGGGAGCGCTGGTGGGGGGAGGGGCTGCGGCAGCGGCGGGAGAGTGCAATGCAGTAAAACTGTCCAGTCGTTGCGATGTTCCAGCGATAGCGATGGCCGAGCTCTGTCTGAAGAGCAGGCTGCAGTGCTGGGGTCCCCAGCCTCCCGGGGCGAGAGCCAGAGACCCACTGCAGATCTCCCTTGCAGAGGGCTTCAGACACTGGGTTGCCCGGTCGCCATCTTGCCGCCCCTTGTTACTTGATTTTTAAGTAGTGATAATTTCATATTGAGACTGAAAAGACTTGATTTTAAAAATTTTACTTAAACCCTATTATAAAAATTCAAAAATTAAAGCATAATGATAGGGTGTGTATCTCCACTTTAAAAAAGGTCCAGACACCAATTCTAGGCTTTGGTTTGTGTATTTGAGAAATTTTTCTTCAGTTCATGGAGTCTGGTCACAAGGATTGCTTTTGCATTGTATAGTTCACTCAGCACTTTCCTTCTGAGAAAAATAGAATACCTTATGAAATAAATTTAAATCCCCAGAAATTCTGCCAAGCAAATAAATGAATCTGTATTGTATATTCCATAATATAGAAATACTATTAGTAAAGAAAATTTGTATCATTTTTGAATTACTCTTAAAGGATATATGCCGAATAGATTTGTTTGATTAAGTAATGGGATTATTAAGTGTTTTTTAATTTATAAAATTAATGAGATTACTGAACATTCTAATCATATCAAGATATGTCAGACTAGAAGAATAACTTATAGTAATAACTAATCTTTTCTAGAAAAATTGAGAGATAAGGTAAAAAAATAACTTTCTAAGTCTCTGGAAGTTCAGATAAAATGACTCTGGAATTATTAGGTATCCATTGTTTAGTTACTGATAAGAAACTGCTCAATTTTGAATGCTGTATGCAAATTACAAAATAGGGGAAGGGAAATCTTATCTCATGGAACAGAAAATGCCATTGTAGTACTAAAAGCTGAATTCACAGACCTCTATGCCACCATGACTTAAAATTTGTACAGAGCTAGGTAGTATTTTTTCCCATTGATAGCACCCTCAATTACTCTCTTTCCTTGTGCTATAGCTCTTAGAAGGTCCAGAGTTAAATCTTTCTAAGTTCAAGTCTAATGGAAAAGACAACATTTTTTTGTTTGCATGAATGAAATCTCAAGAGTTAGTCTGAGTGGACCTTACTGAGTTGTGTATTGAACTCTGAGCCAATCTCTTATGTGAGGCCTTGGCCACATGCTCACCTTCACATTCTATGATACTATAATTTGAGAGTTGGCAAGGTGTGTTTCTTCAGCAAGAAACAGGGCAAAGGTAGAATGGCTGCTAAGGAGACCATTCTGCAACAAATGCCTCTTACGTTAGGAGCAATAAAGGATATAGAAACAATGGCAAAGTCAAATGTAAATAGAACAGATTTATTACCTCTAATTCATGGTAGGCAGGGTGTCAAGCACATATTTAATATTTTATATATTTCAAAAAAAACTTTTTTTGAGTTGGAGTCTTACTCTGTTACCCAGGCTGGAGTGCAGTGGCATGCTCACGGCTACCGCAGTGTCATCTGCTGGGCTCCAGCGATCCTTCCGCCTCAGGCTTCCAAGTAGTTGGAATTACAGGCATGCGCTGCCATGCCCATAATAATTTTTGATTTATTATAGAGACAAGGTCTCACCGAGTTGCCTCGGCTGGTCTCGAACCCACGGGCTCAGGCAATTCACTCACCTTGGCCTCCTAAAGTACTGGGATTATGGGCTGAGTCACTGAGCCTGGTCTGTATTTCAAAAAAAATTTTTTTTAAATCAATTTCTGAAACTGAAAATACAAATGGACTGATTTGGGGATTAGAGTGGGGTCTGGTATAATACTGTGTGACTAAATTGATATTCCATATCTGTTTTTTTCTTGACCCTCCTCTTCAATATGTTTGTCTCTCATGCTTAAGAAAGTTTGATCACACTAAGCCAGTTTATTCTTTTTTTTTTGAATTGGAGTCTCGCTCCATTGCCCAGGCTGGAGTGCAGTAGCATGCTCACAGCCACCCCAGCGTTGACCTACTGGGCTCTGGCAATCCTTCTGCCTCAGCCTTCCAAGTAGCTGGAACTACAAGTGGGCACTACCACGCCTGGCTAATTTTTTGATTTATTGCAGAGATGAGGTCTCACCAAGTTGCCCAGACTGATCTCGAACCTGTGGGCTCAGGCAATCCCCTCACCTCGGCCTCCCAAAGTGCTGGCATTATAGGCTTGAGTCACTGTGCCCAGCTAACCAGTTTATTCTTAAACTTTCTGCTTCCATTATCAATAGGATTGTATTTGAGTTCAAGCTTAACCAGACCCTGGATATTTAAGTATTTTCCTGAACAACTACTCATGTGCCTGGAGGCCTCATTGCTCTATCTCTTTTAATACAATGTAGGGACATTTCTATGAATAATTGACTAAAAATGAAAAATATTTGAACCTATTTTTCAATGATTTTGCTCCATATCTGCAGCAAGTAGGACATCAACTATTGCATCATCCAGCCACCTCTAAATATTGACCCTGAAGGATATTAGAGGAAAAGATAAAATTTGAAGGAAAGCAGTATGTATAATACAATATTTAAAAGTATGGCTTCATCATTTACAAAGGTTATAAAAATTGGTAAGTTTCTTCACTTGTCAGTTTTCTTGTTTTTATAATGGGAATAATAATACACTCATTGTGAAATATAAAGGAGACAGACTTGGTAAAACACTCAGCACAATGCCTGACATACAGCAGGTGCTGAATGAATGTTTAATCTAATTATTAATGTCCACTTTCTCTGTGAGAACAAATAGCCTGATGCCAAGCTCTGCGCTACATTCTTACAACAGTCAATGATCTAAATGTATAGAAAGATATCGGAAAAGTACTTCAGGTTCCACCAGTCAAGCTGTGTCTTAGACATTTGGTCATTTGAAGCTTCATGCAGACAGAAGTACCTCAGTTGGTCACAGCTACCATGTGTCAGCAAGCGTCCAGCTGGAGAACCATAGTCCAGGTTTTAAGAAATGATTCTCTGTGAAGCACCCCAATATAACTTGGTGTATGTATAGCACTTCTGTTATGACCGAGTAAGCAAGAAGAAGTTACACCAGCAAGTTGAGTTTTATTAATTATGAATTTATTAAATGCGCAGGTCAAGAGTAGACAAACACCAGAAAAACTCTTGGCAAATTGGTGCAGTTTGTGACAAGCTTTTATAGGTAAAATTTCTAGCATTGGCTATATAGCAACTTAGTGACCATAGCAACTAACTTACAACTTGGCAACAAAAATGGGAACTTCGATTGTTAGGGAGCTTTGATTAATTTCATGTCAGGTAGATGTAGACAGTGCCCAGAAAGTCACTGGAATTCTGCCATTAAGATATAGCTTAAGGTAGTTACATAGAGACAAGGAAGAAGAATCATTATACAACGGAGTTTCCTTGGTTAGGTCACTAACAGAATATATGAACAAACTATGAAAATGTCCAAGCGTAGCATTTGATTTCAGTTAACAAAGCATACAATCACATGGAAGCTATGGCGAAGGAGTTCTGTAATGGTCAGCAGGCAAGGTCAACATAACCTGCCCAAAGGAGACAAAGCTGGGGGTCTGTGGTGATGGGAACGTTACTGTAATCACATGTAGGCATTGATTCTTAGGTCAGGCAGATAACTAAGATGAAAGTTTTAAACAAAATGGAGTAAGCTGGTTAATATTATTACTTTGTAGAATTGGATTTTATTAACTGATTTACCTTATTTCACTTCCTCCCCATCTCCTTGAGAACGTGGCAATTCTACAAAAGTTCTAACTGCCTAATAACCTCTCCAGTCTTCCTCCTATATAAACGGGTCCATGTAGGCGGCTGGGGTGATTTTCTACCTTATTTAGTAAACCCAGTTATCGGTGGATAAATTTGCACTTTAGAATTTACAGTGCCTCTTTCCTTCAGCTTTGTCCTTATCTGAAGTTGCTAAACAAGTGGAAAACTACCCTACACTTGTGACATATTTAAACTGATAATTCTAGTGACAATAACACAACATTATTAAGGTGATTAAAAAAGTTATTTAACATCTTAAAAATCATGGCAGAGAAAACTGTAATATCAGTTTTTGTTATTTTGGAATTTTGTGAAAGTACTGACTACCGAAAATTCCTGGCACTTAAAATCAGTGCTTAAAATTTGGTTGTGGAAATGATAAGTAGTTTTAACATAAGAAAGTTGAGTACTGGCCGACTCTCAGATAAGTAAGTATGTGCTAGGAAAACATCTCACTGGTGTCCATCACTTTTTGTTGTTTAAAATCAAGATCTGCACACCTTTTTCGTCTCATACAGTTTACAATAGGATATTTTTTGAGATTGGTTTTTGGAAATGCTCGACATTCTTCTAAATTAACTGCAGGCATTGATTTGCCTCTTGTGATATGTGTGGAAATTATTCTCTAAACTTTTAACTTAGGAAGAAACTGCTTTGAAGTCCAAGCAATACAATATGACACATGTTTGGAAACAAGATTCCTTTCATTTCTTTTCCTGGAATTCAATGCCATTCTGGATTCGCAGGGATTGAAATTTGAAAATATCCAGAAACATGCATCTTGGTCCAAGTATACATTTTATAACAGTATAAAAAGGCCAGGCTTGGTGGCTTAAGTCTATAATCCCTGCACTCTTGGAGGCCAAGGTGAGAGGATTGTTTGAGCTCATGGGTTCAAGACCAGCCTGGGCAACTTGGTGAGATCTCATGTCTACAATAAATTAAAAAATTAGCCGGATGTGGTGGCACACACCTGTAGTTCCAGCTACTTGGAAGGCTGAGGTGGAAAAATCACCTGACCCAGCAGGTCGAGGCTGCAGTGGCTGTGAGCATGCCACTGCACTCCAGCATGGGCGACAAGAGTGAGACTCCAACACACACACACACACACACACACACACACACACACACACACACAAGTCTAATAAGTGATCAGCAATAGCAAAGCTTTTCTAAGTGGGTCTACAGAGTAGTAAGAATTTAAGGGTGAGAGCAAAACAATATAAGAGATCACACATTCTGTGATGACTGGTACCTGCTGACTGGTTTGTGTGTGTGTGTGTGTGTGTGTGTGTGTGTGTGTGTGTACATATGAGGTATTTGTTAAGTGTCTCAGAGACAGTAAGAGACTGCTTTGGAGGAGATAAGTCTGGAGCTCTCAGTCATTCTGTTATTCTGAAACTTCTCTCACCAAGATTACAGTACAGACCTATGTACAATTATAACCACTTACTTATTCCCAATGGGAGAGAGCACACATTCTTGTTTGGTCACAGGAAATGATACTTGTGCTCAGTTTCTACTTCCAGTAATGTTTAGTCTCTGAGCTTAAAATCTCTCTATATATCCTCTTTAGTTGTAAATCTGTTGATAAAAACTCCAGGTTGTGATTCTTACTATCCTGACCCTTAGGACCTAATGGTAATTTGATGGAAATGATCATTTTAACAAAGCAATATCCTGTACATTCAATACAGAGTACAGGAATATTGGAAAAAAAACCTACCACTATTTAAGCATTATATAAATGGGAAAAAATGTGTATAACTGTCATATTTTTATCACCATCCTAGACAAAATATATGTATTTATATAATATGTAAGCATATATAAAATATATACCATATATAAATATATATGTAAGTGTGCACACACACACACACACACACACACACACACACACACACAAAAAATGGTGTCATTTTCCCTCCAAAATAATGAAAATATAAGGTAACTTAGAGGACCAATAAATGATGACATGGGTATCAGTTTGGTCATATTCTGGAATATGAAGTTAATTCTTGGTTATCAAATTTACTGGCTTCACTTTCTGTTCCCTTGGACTATTTTATTCTTAGCCATTCTTGGACATTGATAATAAGAATATTGAAAATTTCCAAATAGAGAACGATGTGATTAAATAGTCATTAAAACAATAACCAAAAACTATTTCTCAAAACTTGAGTCCAAAATGATGTATATGTCATATTTATGTCCACAGGACTTAGCTTACTTCTTAGTAATATTTTACTTTTTTTTTTTGAGTTGGAGTCTCACTCTGTCACCCAGACTGGAGTGGTGGCCGCTCCCGGCCACCGCAGCCTCAACCTGCTGTGCTATGGCGATCCTTCCGCCTTAGCCTTCCAAGTAGCTGGAACTACAGGCACGTGCTACCATACCCGGCTGATTTTTTTTGACATATTGTAGAGATGAGGTCTCGCCAAGTTGCCTAAGTGGGTCTCGAACCCGCAATCCACTCACCTCAGCCTTCCAAAGTGCTGGGATTACAGGCTGAACCAACAAGCCCGGCCAATAATATTTTACTTAATTGATTTTACTTGAGTATATACATTCAGGGCATGTAGAGCATTGTACTGTTGCTGGAAGTAGACTCATAATTGCCAGAAATACAATAAATTTTATTGCAGAAAAAAAATAATTTTTGAGTGCTAATGAACATCTCAAGATAATTTAAAATACATTGATTTTTTATAAAAACTTATGAATATTAGTAAAGTCAATAACAACTCTTACTAACTCAGCATCAGGACATGGCACTGGGTAGTTTTTTAATGATCCTTTAAACATTTGATCACCACATTATAAGCATTATGAAAAAGCAGTATGAAAAAGAAAATAGTTGACTCTTCTGTTACTAGATTGTGTTAAAATATGTAAAACATGAAGTGCATTTTGGACAGTATTCCATAGAGAAAGCTTCAAAATCTCATTGACGTTTATTTATAAAGGGAGTGTTTTGTTTTACAAAACACATAAGAGGGTTATCTAAGCTTTTCCAGTGGATGAGATGGCACAGAAAAAGCAATAGTAGTAGTAAAGAACAAATAAAGCAAATTGTTCAATGTGCAAGAATTAGAAGTTTGTTTTTAAGATAATCAGGGTGTTTAATTCTAATAACAAATCAACTAGTGTCACACTGCCGTGTATAAAACATCAAAATATTTATAAGTTTTGTGATTCTCTTATGAGTAACTACTTGAAAAGCTGATTGCATATTTCATTTTTCACTCATAGCAGTAAGTGAACTTGACTAATTATATTCAGTGCAAGTAATGGGTCATGAGAACTTTTTCACTCATGATTCTGAAAAATAAATCCATTTGAGTATGTTTTGGGACTTGTACCTACAGACATCCATTTACAGATTAATTTTAAAAGGTTAAATTTTAATTTGTGAAGGCTACTCTAGGAAAGATAACAGGTTTTGACATCTATAAAATAAGTCCATGGTTCAAGGGAAAGTCAAGCTGTGATAAGACTAAATTGATAGGGCATGATTTCTGTTTTTTACTTGTAAAATATTGATTTGTGTGATATACAGCTGTAGCTCTGGCCTTTGGGAATTAAACTTCCATTCCCTGAACAGAGTCAGAAAATAAAAGAGAGAAAAATAATTATTGAGATATAACCCTTATTTTTTGTTCAAACCAATTCTGTATCATGTATATCTACACTCTACCCTTTTTCAATATTACAAACAAAAGTACACCAAATACTGCGGTAGAGTAAGCTTGTAGATTTACTGACAGTATTACTGTCTATATTCTTTCAATGTTACTCACCACTTCAAGATTTAATGTCAAATGTTTTCCAACTGCCAGATGTCGGAATCACTGTACTTGAGGAAATTTCCAGAAGTCTGCTACAGTAAGTGACAGAGCAGTAGTGTCAGGGTTAGCACTCTCTAGCATCAACCTTTGAGCAATGCTTCATGAAAACAAGTTCATGTGTTTCCCAACTATCTAGGCCTAGAGAACAATACGTTTTGTGATTGTATTTTACACTACTTTTCCCACAATATTGAATTGTAGTGGCCGTTTGTGGAACCTGACACAATAATGGACCAGCTATTTTTCCCTGCATGTATCATTTTTCCGCATGTACTCTCCTTCCAAATAAATTAATTAGACTTGTATTAGGGCTTGAATCTAGAGTATAAGCAATAAGAGAAAATCAAAGGTTAACTTTCATGTTGACAAAATGTTACAGAACATTTAATTTTTTGTCACCTCACATTTCTAAAGTTGCTACAAGAAACTAACATTTGTTTAAAAGTTGTTTATTTTAGTCTTATACTGACGTCTTGTTCTTTATTGTTCAGAGTCAAAAAGAATACAGTTAATTGGCTGGAATGTACGAACAGTGCCAAAAGACGATTATACTCAAACCAATACACTCAAACAGGGTTCACAATAGGTGAAATGAGATTGAACATCACAAAGGGAGACATTTCTCTAAAACTTCATTAATACAACAAACAAAAAAATTCATAAAGAAGGACAAAATTATGAACTTTGCATCAACTTGGATGGACTTAAAGGCTATAATACTGAGTGACCTATCACAGAAACAAAGAACCAAGTATCACATGTTCTCACTCATAAGTGGACCTTGAACAGCTATTGTAATATAATAAGAAAGGAATTGGAAGTAGTGGGAAACTGCCAGGGGAGGGAGGGACACACCTCATTAACAAGGGTACCTGAATAATGAACATTTTATATACTTGACCCTGCATTGTACCCCACATCTTTAAAATAAAAAATAAAACAAACAAACAAAATAGATGAATCAGGGGAAAAAAATGTAGCTTTGGATAAAGAATCAGTGTCCCTCATTTATATGTTTAAAGTTGAGTCATAGTGTACATCACTCCTCAGTATTTATTAATAGTTGACTATTTAAGATGTATGATTATTAAGATGTATACGGAGTATACTCCACTTAAGAACTTAAATTCGAATAGCCTATGTTTGATACTAAAAAGTATTACTTCCTATTCATTTTTAATTTTTTTCTTAAGAATATTTCATTTTCCTCAGTAAAATGGTGTGAGACAGATGACTTTAATTGTACGATCACTGGAGAAGCTTAAAAAATGATGGCCATGACACAGAAGACACTCAGTAAATATTGTTGAATGACTGAATGGTTAAACAGTGGAATGATCCTACCGTATATCTCCCTTTTGCTTACATGCACTGAAAAACAGAACAAATCCAAGTGTTTTCTAGTAGCTAGGCTATAAATACCTTAATGATAGACTATATCGGTAGAGGAATCCTAAAGTCTTGGGTAATCTCTGTGGACAGTAGTGTACGTTTCAGCTACTGTGGCTGGTTTAGGCCATTTGCCTAAGAATGTTCCTCTGTGTTACCCTTTGAAAGGCTTCCTTCACTTCCTTGTTCCTTAAGGTGTAGATGACAGGATTCAAGGCAGGTGTGACCACCGTGTACATGAGGGCAGTTGCTTTGTCTGTCCCTGGAGTGTGTGCAGTCTTAGGCTGCAGATGCGTAAACAAGGCAGTGCCATAGAACAGAGAAACAACCAGGATGTGAGAAGAGCAAGTGGAGAAAGCTTTTCGCCTGCCGGCTGCAGAAGGGATTCTCAAGATCGTCACAAGAATGCGCACATAGGAGCATAGAATGAGGAAACAGGGACCCATAATGAAGAGCACGGAAACCGCAAACACCACAATCTCATTATGGGAGGTATCAACACAGGCCTGCTTCACCACAGGCATGATATCACAAAAAAAGTGCTGAATCTTTCCCGTTCCACAGAAGGGCAGGGTGAAGATCCAGGTGGTCTGGGCTGACTCCACCACCACCCCGGTGATCCAAGACGCTGCAGCCAAAGTCAAGCACACACGAGGGCCCATCAGGAGTGTGTAATGCAGTGGGCAGCAAATAGCTACGAAGCGGTCATAGGCCATGGCTGCCAGCAGGCAGCATTCTGTCAGTCCCAAGATGGTAAACACATACATCTGGGCTGCGCAGCCTCCCACACTTATGGTCTTGGTCTCCATCAGCAGGTGCGCCAGCATCTGAGGCACCACGCTGGTGATGTAGCACGTCTCCAAAAATGAGAGGTTCACCAGGAAGAAATACATGGGAGTGTGCAGGGAACGAGTTACCCAGATCAGGCAGATGATGATGAGGTTTCCTCCCACAGTAAATAAGTAGATGATTAAGAACACAGCGAAGAGTACCAGTTGTAATTCTGCTAGACTAGAAAAAGCCACAAATATAAACTGGGTGCACAGGGACTGGTTTCCATTTATGGTTGACTCAGAGGTAGACATCTGTGATAAGTAAAGTTTAATTAATGTATTTTCAATTGTATTTATTATCTTAATTATATTCTCGAGGTTGTTTTAGCTTTAACTCAAGCAACAAAGAAGACAATAACTAGGAGTCATGTCACCTAACACAGCTCTCTATCGAACCACAGCACAGGAGCTCTCCTAGAATCGTTAGTCTGAGATAAAAGCCTAGACACCTGGAATTCCTCTGTTAAATCTTTAAAAATATCTCATTAGATTCATATTTATTTTTTAAATTTTAGTATTTTTTTCTTGATTTTTGAGTTGTGGATTTTATAGAGCAAACAATGACTTTGAGTTACATATGCTGAGTTTTTTTTTAGACATTGCTATTCAAATTATATACACAAAGTATTATGTAAATGATAGATGAAGACATTATAATTGTGAAAGAGTCACATAAAACCTAAGTGATTAGAATAAAATATAAAGTGCTATATTCTGGTCTTCCAAAGTCTACAAGCTTCTTTAAATCTATACTTAAGGATTTGAAAGGGAGCATATTTTCAGTTATTCACCTATACATTTATATACATATTTTTCACAATTTGAACAGAGTAACCCAATAATTAGGAAGCTAAGATCCACTGAAAACAAAACCAACAGAATCTTTTTTTCTACAATGTCAATGCAATTTTACAGAAAATTATGAATAGGAGAACATACCTAGAACCACAGGGCAGACTTTCTTTTCCTTTTTGGATCCCTAAACTTCCTCCAATTCCAACATATAACATAGTGATAAAATAGATAGTACTTTTACTCTTCCTAGAGACCATAGGGATTGCATTCACTGCACAGATTATATTTGTCTCAAGAGGAATATGTTCAAAAACAACAACAATAAATGTTCAATATGCAACTGGCTTTTTATTCTTAAACATATTTCCAGGGCAACCCCCTTGGGCCTCCTCCTGCTCTGGGAGTTTTTCTGTCCTCTCAATATCCTACCTTCTAAAAATAAACCATATTTCCAGAATTAATCTATTGCTGTCAGTTACATCACGTAAGTTTCAGTACATAAAACTAAAGGTTCTTAATCAGTACCCATCATGCAACTGAAACAGTTGTTGAATTTATAGATATTTACCATAGTAATCTTTCTTAAGCTCTTCAGATGGACAGTGACCACTCAGGACTTTAGTAGACACAATACAGGACACATAGTAGGCTCCACAAACCCCACAGTTAGCATTCACTTTATTCATTATTTATAAGTCAATTGTTAGTGGCATAAAAAATGACATAGTGAGGAACAGTCCAGATTTCCAATGAAATTTAAAATATTTATAAAAAATATTTAAAACCTTTTTTCTTGTACTGTCTTCAAGAAATGAAAATCTTGTTTACTTTCAATAATCTCCATTGCTCCAATCAGAACACATTTTCTTTCCACTCCCAGGTCAATATGGTACGTTTATCATGGGAGTTTTAGACATTATCTCTCCCTTCTAACAAAATACTTATTGAAAAGAATATGCTTTTTTAGATACTTCTTATGCTGCCCCAGAGAAGACATAAAGCCTTGTTTTTTGGAGGACTAGTGCTCTCCAGTTAGCGTGGCAACACTGCTGCAGGGAATGGATCACATTGAGCATGTAATTAAGAAGAAAATGGATTCTGTTTGATGGCGTGGAATACCTGCAACAGTGCAGCAAAAGGATCACGCAGGATCAGTGATACTTTGCTAAATCTCCCCCAAAAGGTCTGGGAGAACTAGTAAATACATATGTAGCTGTATTTCTATGATGTGTTTTTATAGTAAAATACTTGCAAAACCAAAACAGCTATTATGTTTATCTACTTTAATCCCCATTTGAACTCTATGTTGTGTTTATTTCTAATCTGATTCTGAAATCAGAGGAAAATATTTTTTAAAGGAATATGGGTACAGGATTGGATGTTGAGTATTTAAGTCCACAACATCTTATGCTGCTTCTTGACCTGAGTAACTGGGTAAGTGAAAACAGTGGTTGGTAAGATAATAGCCAGAGAAGTATGAGTACTACCAGCAATAGCAAGAAAATATAGACTCCAGATCCCACAGGATGTCGCACATCTTCCTCCAATCTCCCACCTTGTGACTGGTCTTGGAAAAACAAAAATACTCGAGATTAAAGGATGGATCATGGCTATGTGGTATTTTTCAAAAACAAGGAAAGAGAATATTTAAGAAGACAGTGATTAACTTCACCAAACATTTCTGAGAAGCTGTGAGAAAAACAGCTTTCAATTATCTGTTGATTTTTAGTTTCACATTGGCCATTGATGACTTCAGAAAGGAATAATTTTGAAAGAGAAGTTCATGAACCAGGTTGACACTCTTTGTAAATTTAATTTTGAAAATGAAAGAATAGGAGCAATATGTGAGAGAAATTTGGCTATGAAAGGCAGGAGAAAGATAGGGTAAAAGTCAGGGGAAAAAGCTCAGGAAAGGACTGTTTATTGTTGTGGGTCATTATTTTTTAAGATGGGAGATTCAAAGAAGGACAAACATATGGACTTTGTAGTAACTTGTTTGGATTTGGAGTCTATCATACTCAGTGATCTATCACAGAAACAAAGAACAGGGTACCATGTTCTCACTCATAAGTGGACCTTGAACGATTATAATACTATAAGAAAGCAATTGGCGGTAGTGGGAAACTGTCAGGGAAGGGGTGGGGTTGGCAGTTGAGAGAAACTGCTAGTGAAGGGAGGGGCATACCTCATCAACAAGGGTGCCTGCAAAATCAACGTTTGTATACCTAACCCTGAATTATACTCCACATCTTTATAATAATTTTTCAAAAATGGGAGATTGGTGGACCTGTTTAATAAATGGTGTGAAGGAGCAATCTAACATGTAACTTTTCTTTCCCATGGTTTCGAAATAAAATATAATTTTAATTTTTGAATTAAAATTTCAATTTGAAAGCTATGAGTGTCTTATGGTAGAACAATGACAAATAAACATGTTTATAATATTGAGACCTTGTGATTACGATATTTGATTTGAGAAAATGGTTCATTGAGATGGCATTCCAAAATACTTTTTGTGAGCATTTGAATTTATTCATCACTTATAACAATATTAAGATCATCTTTGTTAGAAGAAGAATAATGTGACCAATAATAGCAGCTAATATTTTATTACTTATTTGTTAGATAAATGTTTGATAATTTGCTTATATATGTATTTTTCCTCATTTCATTTTTATAACAACTTTCTGAAAGAGGTATTGCTATCCCCATTAAAAGACCAAGTAACGTAATGCAGAGTTGTAATTTTTCATGGTATTATAGGTAAAAAGGAGTAGAATTGGGATTTGAATTCAGGCTGTCTCAATACTGACATGTATAATATCTTTCCTTTTTTTTTTATTGTCCTGTACTCTCTCTTTTAGATAAATTTCAATGTAGTGGGTGATAAAAATTGTGTCAAGAAGCATTGTGAGAATACCTAAACTGCCATAACTGAATTGTTAATAGAGATATGTGTGTCAAAGCACTGCTGGTGAAGGCTCAGAATAAATTGAGGACTGTGTTATTGGAACCTGAAGGAAAAGGATCCTTGTTATATAGTGGCTGAAAGATTAGCGGAATTGTATCTTGCAATTGTGGGTCAAGTGAAACTTGTAAATGGAGAGTTAGCTGATGAAATGTCCAAGTGTTGAAATATCTTGCTACTTACATTAAATGTGAGAGGAGAAAGAATAGGTTGAGGCAAGGAATGTTAAATAAAAAAAAGAAAATCAGGACTTGATAATTTCAAAAAGCTTTAATAATGTTACCAAATTTAAAGTCAATATAATTTAGCAGTTTAAGGGAATAGACTTTGGAGTAGAATACTTAAATATTTATCCTCATTCTCAAAGTAATAACTGTGATTTGGGGCAATAAGATAATTTTCTTTGTGTTCATGGATTCACTATAATGTGGCAATATAAATATTTTATGCTTTATTAAACTTTTATAAAAATTAAAGGCATTAGTGATGGCAGGAGCATGGTGGAATAGAAAGCAAGCATCTTAAGGGATTTTCATGCCCCTGCAGCAGTGAAGAGAAGGGACTTAAAAAGATATAGCTCCTTGGTTCTCCCCAGAAGGGGCTTAAGACATAGATCCAGAGCACCAACATCAATTTTTTAAAAGCTACCTCCCAAAGGACTCAGTCCTCGACCTTGTACGTCTAGAAACAGAAGGGACTAAGCATATGCAAGTTTCCCTTGATTGTAGAACAAAGAGGTGGGTTTTTTTTTCCAGTTTTTAATTGTGCTTTTATTCACCTTAGGTCATTAAAAATGTACTAATTTAAAGATCATATAAATATAGTGACCACACTAACATGGAATAAAGATTACCCCATCAGCATGGCATTTGTTTTTATTAAAAAGCAATTTTTGGCCAGGCGTGGTGACTTGCGCCTATAATCCTTGCACTTTGGGAGGCCGAGATGGGATTATTGCTTGAACCCAGAAGTTTGAGACCAGCATAGGCAACACAGCAAGACCTCAGCTTTACAAAAAGCAAAAAGATTAGCCTGGCATTGTGGCACATACCTGTAGTACCAGGTACTCAGGAGAATTTCCTGGGCCCAGGAGTTTGAGGCTGTGTTGAGCTGTGATTATGCCACTGCACTCCAGTCTGGGTGATAGAGTGAGACCCTAACTCAAAAAAAGGAAAAAAAAAAGCAGTTTTTCTTATAAGAATCTTATTGATCACACAGTAGTTAGATATAATGATGTATGCAATCTAAACAAGGCAGACCACTTAAGAATTTACGTAATGTAAATCTATACATATTAAAATTTAGCCACGTGAACAGATGCATTGCAGCAGCGATAGCAGATGCAGGAATCTCATTTTCTCATCATAAACACTTTTCACTAACAGGTATAGATATTACATACACATCCAAACAAACAAGGATAAAGTGTGACATGCTACATTACTGTGATCTTTCTGAGCTACTCTCAAGAAAATGGTAAATAGTGAAC